TGTTCTATAGCTAATGTAAAGCTAATAACTCAACCTTTGGGGTTTGCTTTGTGTAAATTTATAAAAATGACAGCATTCTAAAAACGAGACGCTCAAGTTAAAAGAAGTAAAAATTTAAAAAAGATTCTGAAATGTATATATATATATATATATATATATATATATATATATATAGTAGATTCTAAACATTTTTACATTTTCAAAAATGCATTTCAAATTTTCAAAAATGCATTTTTTCCCATTCAACTGCTGGTGTCTCCCATTTTTAAAAATGCTAAATGGCATTCTGTGTTAACAGCCCCAACAGCAGCATGCATTTATCTTACTAACAACAGAAATTGAAGCCAAGCAGCTTCCTATGTTCACTTGAAAAAACCTTTTAATCTAAAGCTGAAACATATGAACACATGAACTTGTGCGGTTTAATGGCACAAACATTTGTGAACTCTAGCCCCTCTTTGAGTATTGCAGTTTGTTACCCATGCATGTTAAGTATGTTGCATTTGCCTTCATGTCTATAGCATGCTGTCTATATCAGTCCTCAATCTTCTCTGCGATGTTCACAGTGATCACGTCCTCATCGCGGCGGGATTACACCGTTAGCATGCCGGACGGTAGCGTTCGCACACACAGCTACCTGTGGACACAGAGCATCAAGTTCCAGAGGTGCCCACACGAGGAGGTCCTGAGCGCTGTGCCGGCGAGCCAACAGCTCAGCGTCGACCAGATCTTCGTCATGTACGACTCCAGCAACCAGCTGATCCGCTTCGCCATGAGCAACAAGATCGGCTCCATCCACAGTAAGAAAATCTAGAACTATAGCAGACACGTGAACATTCGCCGCTTAGTGCTAAAACACACGACACAGTCACTAAACACTGGGTTCTGTCATATATATGTGTTGGATAATGACTCATACACTACTGTTGAAAGTTTGGGGTCGGTAAGATTTCCTAATGTTTTTGAAAGAAGTCTCTTCTGCTCACCAAGGCTGCATTTATTTGATCAAAATGCTGAAAAAAATGTGAAATATTATTATAATTTAAAATAACTGTTTTCTATGTGAATATATGTTAAACTGTAATTTATTTCTGTGATCAAAGCTGGATTTTCAGCATCATTACTCCAGTCTTCAGTGTCACACCATTATTTATTTATTTTAATTGCACATTTCCATGATTTTATTATTTTTTAGTAAGTATTTTATTATTTTAAAATCATTCACTTTAATTCTATATTTTATTGGTTTTTATTTAGCTATTATTTAAATTCAAAATTATTTTTAATTTTACAAATTTATAGTGTTATTATTTTTTAATAAGCATTTTATTTTTATTGTTATTACTTTAAAATAATTTATTTTAACTGGACATTATGGGTTTTTATTTAGCTATTATTTAAATTCTAAATTATTTTTAATTTTACAAATTTATAGTTTTTTTAGTAAGCATTTTATTTTGTCTATTATTTTAAAATTATTTATTTAAATGTTAAATTATTTAAATGTTTTTTTATGATTTTGATGAATTATCTTCCTTCAGAAATCATTCTAATATGCTGATTTGCTGCTCAAGAAACATTTCTGATTATTGTCAATGTTGAAAACAGTTGGGCTGCACAATATTTTTGTGGAAACTGTGCTACATTTTAGTTTTAAGGATTCACAGATGAATAGAAAGTTCAAAAGAGCAGCATTTATTTGAAATAGAAATCTTTTGTTACATTATAAACGTCTTTACTGTGGCCTTTGATCAATTTAATACACACTTGATGAACAAAAGTATTAATTTCTTTAAAAAGAAATCTTACTGATCCCAAAAATTGAACTATGACTGTTCTTTACTAACTCTGCAGGTTAAGTTCATGTATGGGATCTCAGTAGAAACTTTAACTCAGTCTCCCGCTGATGTTTATGACTGTGTGTTCTGGGCCAAAGGTGGTGCGAGTGTTTGTGCTGGTTTCTGTAAGCCGATCTGAGTTAAAACCGCAGCTGAAGAAGAGCGCTAACATCTGTGCGGTTCAAACACACGCCGTCTCTCGTTTAGGACAAACGTCCGTCAGCAGGAGCCGTAACCAGCGTGTTGGTGGTTATTAAGATCAGCATCTCGCTGAGTTTTAAAGGGGTCATCGGATGCTACATGCACTTTTACAAGTTGTTTGAACTGAAATGTGTGTTGGCAGTGTGTGTACACAACCACCCTATAACGTCATTTACTCCCGACATCTGAGCCACTGAAGACGCAGTGCATTACATTGTTTCTGAAGGGAATGCTCCCCGGATCTACATAAATGCGTCTATGTTCGCGCGAATCATTCGTGATCTAGCTTCACCTCCAGAAGAAGTGAGTGTAAGGTTTTGTAATGAATCTTTGCAAATCGTCTTTCCTAATAACGTGCTAATTAGCAAGTTTCACGATGAATGCGGCTAAAGTAAACCGTCTTTCAGAGAGTGGCTCAGAAGAGAGGGGCAAGGCAAGCAGAGCTCATTAGCATTTAAAGCAACATGTAACAAAACGGGTCGCTGTGAACAAAGCTGTTTTTGACAGGGTAAAAAGGGTGTTGTTTTACACTACCATTGAGAAATTTTAACCAAATTATGTTTCCAAATTACCAAATTAGACTTTATTAAAGGGGTCATATGATGCTTTTTTAAAGATCATTATTTTGTGTATTTGGTGTAACAGAATATGTTGATGACCCCTTTAAGGGTTTTTCCATTGTTTTAGTTTTAGTTTTAGTATAACATTATAATACCATTCATATTTTTACTTTTTTTATAATTTAAAGAAGAAACCAATCCGATGTATAGTTGACATTTGAGGCTTAATACTATAGAAAAGCACTAAAGGTTTTTCAGTTAGAGTGTTTTCAGCTTGTTTATTTTTTATATAAATATACAGCATGCAGTTGCATAAAACAATGGTATAAACATCATTCAATGTAAATTGTGATAATCGTAATTAATAATCATAATTATAATTTCAAGGGAATAATCGACAATTATGATTTTTGTCATAATCGTGCAGCCCTAATTTATATATATGATATGTGACCCTGGAGCACAAAAGCAGTCTTAAGTCGCTGGGGTATATTTGTAGCAATAGCCAAAAATACATTGTATGGGTCAAAATTATTGATTTTTCTTTGTAACAATATCCACTACAGTTCAAAATCTGAGGTCAATTCATTTTATTTTCTTTCTTGTTTATTTTTAAAGAAATTAATAGTTTTATTCAGCAAGGATGTGTTAAAGTGATAAAAAAAAGTGATAGTAAAGACTTACATTGTTAGAAAAAAATTATTCTATTTCAAATAAATGTTGTTCTTTCTAACGTTTTATTCATTAAAGAATCCCCCAAAAAATATTAGGGAGCACAGCTGTTCACAACAATAAATAAATCATAAATCAGCATATTAGAATGATTTCTGAAGATCATGTGACACTGAAGACTGGAGTAATGATGCTGAAAATACAGCTGCACATCACAGAAATAAATTTTATTATAAAGTATATTAAAATAGAAAATCATTAAGTTAAATTGTAATAATATTTCACAATATTGCTGTTTTTTCTGTATTTTTGATCACATAAATGCAGCCTTGATGAGCATAAGAGACGTCTTTAAAAAACATTAAAAGTCTTCAAACTTTTGAACAGCAGTGTAACATATATATTTAATATATTTAACTTTACATCTTTGTATCTCTTTACGATGTACTGTAAGTATGTAGGCAAAGTTGGATATATTATAGCAGTTGTAGGTTATAATTAATAATTTCTTATGTGGCGATATTGAGGATTATGAAGCCAGTAAGGTTTAAATGATGCATGTAGTAAATGACAGGGTTAAAAAAGGAAGTAGTATTTTTGTGGCTTCTTTGATTGGTCAGTTTTATGGATAAATGAAAGAGTGTTTTATGATTCAGAAGAGCGTAAAAGATGATGCTTAAAAAAATGAAAAGATGGATTTATGCTATCCAAAAGATTGGATATAATGCTACTTTGGCTTGGAATAATCTACAAAGCATTCTAAAGCTGACAGTGTTTCCATCATTACATGAATTTAAGCTAATTTTAACAAGCTGTGTGTTTTATCCTTTGGTGAATTGTTGTTGTGATCTTTGATTTGTGTTATGATGTGAACTTGTATATACTATGTTATTTGTTGCTGCTTTCTTGGCCAGGTCACTCTTGCAAAATAGATTTTAATCTCAATGAGTTTATAACCTGGTTAAATAAAGAAATGCTGCGACTCTCAGCTTTTGATGTGGTTTTATATTTATGTGCGTGGTGTGTTTTAGGCGGGATCCCGGAGCAGAATCCCTGTTTCACCGGGAGACACGGATGCGACACTAACGCCTTCTGTCGTCCCGCTCAGGGAAAAGAGTTCAGCTGCGAATGCGCCGCTGGATTCATTGGCGACGGACGGGTTTGTTACGGTAACGATCCTCGTTCACAGATTATCAGTGTTGGGAAGGTTACTTTGGAAATGTAACAGGTTACAGATTACAAGTTACTGTAATTAAGGGGAGACACTGCAGGCAAAAGCACTGTTTTTGTCAATTTTGAGATTTTGGGCTTTTTGGCATTTCATAAAGTGTTTTTTCAGACTAGTGGAAAGAAAACATCCAAAAAAAAGACACTGTTTTATAGCACTTTATCTATTTGTGTCAATAGATTTCAATTGCAATACATATTTTTAAAGGCTGTTTTCTCAAAATGAGTTTTTTCTCCCACACCGAGCCATAAATCACCACTTCAGTAGCACTTTAGTACAGTAGTACTAAATAAAAGCTTATTTATTCAACTTTCAGATGATGCATAAATCTCAATTTCGAAAAATTGACACTTAAAGGCACAATATGTAAGATTTTTTTATTAAAATATCCAAAAACCACTAGAACAGTGTTATATATTTTGCTGACTTGTGTGCTTACATTATCCCAAATGTTTCGAAGAATGTTTAAATCCAGAGAAATAAGCAATTTTAACTAGTGACACGGAGCGTGTCTATAGTGTCATTGTGTCGCCTGCT